GGGCTTCATGCACGTTGGACTGGGATGGCATGGGGATGTGGGGACCCCCTTCCCCATTTTGCATCACAGCCCGGTGGGCTAGACTTCCACTAGCCACCAGAGGGCACTCTTAAATCCATAAGGCCCAGCCTGGTAACCTGCCTTTGTTCCAACGCAGTGGTCAAGGTTTCTATTGCCTTAAAACAACCCGCAATGTCTGTACTGTTTTATTTTCCTGAAAGACTCTTACCTGTGTACTCATTTACGTTCTGATCTTCCCACTATCTCTGAGCTCAGGAAACTTCATTGTACAGCACGAATCACGAATCATTAGATACCCCGTTTCTAAAACCATGCCTAGCACAAGACCCGATGCTGCATGAGCTGTTTACAGCGAAAGTATGAAACGGCCACATTTAGTGGATTGAGTCTATGTGAGTGTATTATCTTACAGTTCTGGAGGTCAGAAATCCAGAACCGAAGTCAAGGTGTGCACAGAGCTGGTTCCTTCTGAATGTTCAGGGGAAAATGTATGTTCTTGCCTTTTTCAGCTTCTGGATGCCAAGTTTAAAAGAGTTAGAAGTCATCCTTTCCTGCATTTTTCCCAGACACAAGTAGGAGGCACTGACAATTTAGGCTGGACAGAGGAGGATGTAGGACTAGAAACATCCACCTTCTTCATATGTTTTAGCTCCCAACTCAGTCACTGATTAGCTACAGCCAATGGATTATTGCTCTTAAACCTCAGTGTTCCCATCTGTGAAGTGGGAATGAAATTGGCTCTTGTTTATGGAGTCACAGCTATATCACCTGGATTAAAAATCCCAGTTATCACCTTTATTTGTCTTGGACAGAGAATAACGTCTAGAGTTCCTTTTTGTTTTGTTTTGTTTGAGGCAGGGTCTCACTACACAGTTGAGGCTGTCCTTGAATTCACTATGTAACCCATGCTAGCCTTGAACTTGTGGTGATCCTCCTGTCTCAGCCTCCCAAGTGCTGGGATTATAGGTGTGCGCCACTACACCTGGCTAGATTTCCTTTTGGTGAAATACAATTAACGATAATGGCTGATATACCACCTATGTCCATATACTGTTGTGTTTAGATTAAATGAGATAGTATATGTCACATACAAATTCAATGGAACCGTGTATAAAGAGCAGGGTTTCCAATAGTGCTTGGCACATGGTACTACTCAACAAAAGGCAGGTCTGTTAATACTATTTTTTTATTTCCAATTTTCCTCTTCTTTCTTCTCTTCTTTTTCTTTCTCATCACCCAGTTTTATCTGAGGTCCTTGTTACATCCTTATATATTTTTCCCCTGTGTAACTCACCTGTTAGCTTGATTTCAGACTCACAAAGTCAGAGCCTGAGTTTTTTGTTGTAAAGCTGTACATTATATGGATGCTGTATTAGTATTGGTTTCTAAACTAGGTTTCAGGTTGTTGCCCTGACTACCAGGGTGGCTTCAAAGGCCAGGGCTCCTGATGTCTCTTCTTTCTTCCAATTAGCGGTCCCCACCCAACCTCATATTGAGGATTGAACCCAGGGAGAACTGAGCTAGATGCCCAACCCTTTTTTATTTTATTTTGAGACAGGGTCCCGCTAAGTTGCTCAGGCTGCCCTTGAACCTGCAATCCTTTCGCCTTAGTCTCCCAAGTAGCTAGTATTACAGACTTGGACCCCCAGGCCAGGCCAGGCCAGACCTTTGAAAAAGGAGAAGTTCCTTCCAACTCTTTCCCTGCCCATGTACTAGAAATGAAAATATCCAAGAGGAAATGTCTATTATTCCACCCCTGAGGCTGAAGGCAGCAGGGATGTGCAAATTTTTGCCTCCCTGTCTGCATGACTTGTTATCAGAAAATTAGAGTAGAAAAGAAGCTTTTGTGCAGCTATGGAGACATCTTAATAGCTGCTTTGATTGTTAAACAGAAGTTTCTGTATCGATTTAATTGCTGTAAATGTTATTTGCCTCCTCTGTTATGATAAGGCCTCCATTCTCATAGATTTTTCCCCTTCCCTTTCAACAGTTTTCCTTGTCTTTAAGGTTTGCATTGGCAAGTTTAATGAAATCCAAACAAAGAAAGTAAAGAGAGGATCTCCAAGTTCAAGTCTGCACACCCACATAGGAAGCGGTACTCCGGTTATTACAGCTTTAGACTAATGATACTCCGGCTTCTTCGTGCAATTGGCAGAGTTCACCCCTTCAGTCAGATATTGGGAAATGAAAGCAAACTACCAAACTTAATTATATCTACTTTAAAAAAAGATGATGTAACAGAATAACTAGGGTATGAATCTAACAATGAAATGTGCTTATAATAAAGAGTGTTTGTTCTCTGCTCACTTGAACCTCCTGAACTCCAGGTAAGGTTTTAAATTTTTGGAAAGTTTTTTGTTTCCTATGTGGAGGGTGTAGTGATGCGGTCAGGAAGGAGTTAGCTACAGAAGAAGAGAAACATTCACATCAGAATTTTCAACCTTAAAGCTATTGTTATTTTGGACCAGTTAATTCTCTTATTTGGGTTAGGCGATGTCTGTCCTGACTTACAGGATGTTGAAAGGCATCCTTGGCTTCAAAACACACACACACACACACACACACACACACACACACGCACGCACACACACTCTTCCCAAAGTGCCTCCAGACGTTGCTAAATGTCCCCTATGGGGTAAAAGCTATGGTGGTTAATAATACTGGTGTAGTGGCTTCTCCAAAGACTTTGAAATAATTGCAATTGCTTCTTGAGATTCTGCTGGTGTGTGGTTGGTGGACCTTTGTCGAGTCACTGTACCTGTCTGAGCTCCTTTATCTTCCCTTGCACAAGCAGAATACTGATAGCAGTCACACAGAGACATAGCTTCCAGGTTTAAAGTGCATAGCATAGTGCCTAGCACATATTGAGCAATCAATAAATTCAGTGTTTCTATTATAATAATCTTGGACTCAGCAAACATGTATTAAATACTTACCCTGCTCCAGATACATGCTATGAAGTAGTGAAGTAAAGATGGAGGCATGGTTCTTACTTTTGCAGAGGCGGCAAATACAGACCTGCTGGTACTACCTTGTTCTTCACTCATGGCAGACATTACTAGTCAATCTTGATGCTCTTTCCCATGGAGCCTCAGAATCCTTCTCAATACAACACTCTGATCACCCTCTACTCATGGCACATGTGTTGCTCCTGATTTTGTAGATTGCTCATGAAGAGGCCACCCCTTCCTCTCCAACACAGCCTGTAGGAATTAACAGGCAGTGTCTTTCCTCCCACATCCGATTTCAGCCAATGGGGAAAAATGCTTTTTAACATTTTTATTCATTTCTCTTTCTTGTCTTCTTCATTTCCCTCAGAAAGCAAAACAAGCAGTCTAATGGGCTTTGAGCTGCTAGATTTTAGTTAAACTAGGGGAAGTTCCACAGGCTGTACCTCTCACAGGCACATCGCGCTGTCTCTGTCTTGAGTTTTCTCTGCCCTTTTGGGCTTTGAAAATTATTAGCTCTCCCAGGAAGGGTCCCGCTTTACAAGAGCAGAATTGGGGTTCCTGGAAACAGCTTTCAGATGGCAGTTGACAGTGTCATTGGACAGAACAGAAGAGTGAATGGGCTGGGGTTAAATGCTGTCTGATCAGTTCTGACATGCCTGACACCTGGACTAGATCGCCACTCCATAGCAATTGCTGCGAAAAATGAGGTGTGCATCTGCAGCCCTGGAAGCAGGCGCTCCCTCCACCCATCTGGCCTGAGCAGTGAGAGCTGGTGTGTGGGTCAGCCGCTTGCTTCCTCTCCTGTCTGATGGAGATGGCACTGGCAGCGCTAGTTCATTTCTGCTGTTGCTTCACACCTCTCCTGGCCTGCGAGGTCTGTGAGGAGGCGGATGTGGACAGCTGGACAGTGCAGTGGGGTGGGGGCTGGTGCTCAGGGCCTGAAGACTCAGTCAGCAAGGGAGTGACAGTATAATTTGCTGAGATTTAGCCTAAAGCATGAAAGAGGAGGCCAGATGAGGACAGGCACCTTGGCTGAAGTCTGCATGTTTTATTGTTTCTTCTTCCATTCCCATTTATCCATCCATCCACCCACCTATCCACCCATCCACCCAACCATCCATCCATCATCCATCCACCACTCGCCATGTGTCTGTCCATCCATCCACCCACCTAACCCACCCACCTACCCATCCATGCACCCACCTATTCTTCCATGTACCCATGTACCCCCCACCTATCCATCCTTCCACTCACATACCCACTCATCCATCCATCTGTCCATCTGTCCACCCATCCATCCACTTATTACAGCATGACTAGGTGGCATATGGTTGGACATTCTAAAAATATACAATATTTGGAAAATGATATAAATCCCCATATAGACTTTGGTCTTAAAATAAATGTATTTAAACAAAAAATGGAATAATCTTTAAAAATATTAAGTAAATAACATTATGGGTTGTATGGAAGCATGATGAAAACCGGAAGAGTGGTACAATACTGGCACAAAAGGCATTTGGAATCCACCACATTATAACACTGCATGCAAGAGCACAGGCTCTAAAGTCCCTCAAGCTTAGAATCATAGCTGCTATATAGCCTATGAGCTATATGACCTCGAGTAAGTGACTTTTCCTGTTCATGCCTCAGTCTCCTCATCTGTATGGTGGGCAACTTAGCAGCCCCTATACTTAGGTTCTTTTCAAAGGATGTAGCCAGCTAAGTCATGTGAGTCACTCAACACATGCCTGGGCCATGTTAATTGCTCTGTGAAATGGAAGGGCTGCCCAATTTTTAATCTTTTCACAGCTGGTTTCTTTTAAGGCCTCTCCTGCCTGCACTGCCCAGGGGACCTTGTGTGAGTTTTCAGATGACAACCTAAGCAACTGTTCCATTTGGTTTGGCCTAGCAAGTAAAAGTAGTTGGTGTCCTTCCTGAGACCAGCAAGCCTCTCTTTTCCTCCCAGCCTACCCAGCCTGTGAGCCGTTGACTAACAAGCTCCTCTTTGCTCTTCTCTCTCTGCAGACACACTGTCAGTGCCACGCTGGTCCCCACAGATCCCTCGCAGAGACCTCGGCAACTCCATCAAGCACAGGTAGGCTGGATCCCTGTGTTTCTGGGGACCCGTGCCCCAGCCCCAGCTCTGTGCCACTGTGAGCCTCTCTCCTCTGCCACCAGAGTGGCAGCTGGCGAGACAAGACATCTGCATCTTACAAAACTCGCCTTATCAAATTAGCACGTAGTAGTTAAAAGCCAGGGGTTTGGAGTCAGACTGACCCATGTTTTCCAGTCCTAGGTAGAAAGCTTTGCAACCTTGAGGAAGTTATGCAACCTCTCCAAGGCTCCATTCTGCCTGATGCAGTGATTTCACAGATTAAATGAAATAATATATGTGAAGTACTTAGCATAGAGCCTCATATATAATAAACAATAAATGGCACCATGGTTAAAGTAAGTGCTTTATGATCTAATTTGGGGGCTTCTCACCTGGAAAACAAGATAGCAGGCTAAACTGAATGGTCCTCGTTCTCTGCAGAGGTATGGATCAGTCCAGAGGTACACCCCCCCCAGGCAGAAAGGATGATTTCCCCATGATTATATCTGCCCTTGTTATAAAGGGGCTTTATCTGAACTGGTCATCTCCATGAAGAGTTCTTCAACTTTTCAAAATCACCTTCTACACTTTACCTCAGTATCTTCGCAGTCTCACCAACTCAGTGTGGTTAAGTATGGGCAAGTATAGCCCTTCCTATTTGACAGATAAGGAAACTGAGGCCCTGAAGGATTGGGCAATGGACTTAGAAGCTAATTTTCCTCCTCATTGTGTGCCCTTTGACAGCTCTACAGAGAGCAGTGTGTGGCCCGGGCCCCTGTGAACTGGCTGAGGGCTGGTTCACTCACTCATGGATTCTCTCCTCTAGGATTTGCGGGATTTCTGTGCAGGGCTGCAGCACTGAGCAAGACGCCAGGCCTGGAGGAGCTGGCCAGCCGGGAGAGGGTCACTTAACAGATCATGACAGTACCGATCGGGGCTATGGGGGAGGAACCCAGGGGCAGCACAGGCCACAGCCCAGGGCAAGGCGGAAACGAGCACTCTCACGCGTGGCATCTTGTCAACAGTTTTTGAAAGAAGGATGTTGACAGGAGAGCTGTTAAAACTCAAATGAGAAAACGTTGAAGGAAGCAGTAAAGAATGTGCCCCAGACACGTCAGTGGTCAGGCTGTGAGCTGCAGAGGGAAGAGTATCAAAAATGCCGGCCCTTTGAGTGTTTGCTTTCTCCCTGCGCCCTGGCTCTTCTCCACCCCTGCCTTGGCCAGGCTCCTGATCTAGCTGCATCCCTGGGTGGGTCATACCCCTGGGTCAGCTCCTCCTCTGATTGGCCACACCTATGACTCAGCCACACCCTCAACTCTTTTCTACTCCTGGGTTGGCCACGCCCCTGATTATGCGCCTTCTCTGGATTGGCCACAACCTGGTTTAGCTCCACCCCTGAACTGGCCACGCCCCTGCTCAGCCCCCTGCCTGGATTGGCCACACCCCTAGTTTAGTTCTTCCCTAGGATTTACCAAATTCCTGGATTAGCTCTATTGCTGGGTGGCCTGTACCCTTGACTCAGCTCTGCACTGCGCATGTGCCCCATCCCCGGGCTTTCTCACCCTAACACCGGAACCTGGTAGTACCTGAGCTTCAGATGCTGGTGCTCAGAGGAAGAAACAACCTGACCACCTTGCTGGAGGAGTTGGGACTCAGGATGACTTGTTACTCTTTAGTCTTGCCCTGTGTTCCTCTCTGGGCTCAACGCCAGATTCACCCAGCCTTGGTGAAAAAATAAAATTAATATCTCTTTCCCTGTCCTCACTCACATCAGTCAGAACCAGGGAACAAGGAGAGCTGATCCTGGGGATAGGCGAGGGCTGGAAAGGGGAAAAAACTGCCACCAGCACACCTATCTGCCCTCCACTCCTGTGCTGCTGGCTGGTGGCTGAAACACATGCCCTTCACCATCCCCTAAGCTGTCAAATCCTGCAGAACAGACCCTGCTGAACTTGCTGGCCCAGCGAGGGGATCCAAAGGGGATTAAGCGGCCCCCGGATCTAAAACCCAGAGAGGGAACTTTTCCTTGGCAACCAGCATCTCTGCTTGGAATATTGCTATTTGCTTAGCTATGGCGGCTTTGAGCTGCAGCTCATTCTGTTTAGAGAGGGACTGACCCAGATCGGGCAAGATGGCACAGCAGAGGGGAGCAGCCTTCCCCTCCAAATGCTCAATCTCAAGTTATGTAAAGCGCTTCCGATTTCCCTTTTGACACCTCAGAGCAGTGGAGATTAGATACAACTCCTGCCGACGGTGGCACAAATTGAAAATTAAAATTAACTGTGACCTGGCAACCTGCAATACTTTTGCTGCTGCTTCATGTCTCGGGAAAAAAAATCACCCACCAACAAGGGGGAGGGCACCCAGGGAATTAATGTAATGCACCTCTACTCACACTGGCCATAGCTCTATGTGGGAGACCCCTAAATACCTCATATTTGCATCAGCTTGGGGGACTTTTCTCTGCTACAAAGTTTGGAGCCTCAGCTCTTTAGTGAGGGAGGATCCCCTTTGAAGCTCTTCAGGTGACAGGTGACGGGTGACATGCCTAGCAGTGATGGGGAATGGCTCAGCTGGGAGACCCCACCTGGCTCTGTGCCCTTCTGATGGCAGTGCCAGCCTCATCGATTGCTCTGTCCCACAGACAAACCCGGCACATTGTAGGCCACCAGGCAAAATATGTCAAATGAACAAGTGACTGTTATGAATGTTCAAGGTAGTAATATAGTCATAACCAATTCATTGAGCACTTACTGTGTGCCAGGCGTGTGTGCAGCCTTTGACTTTCCTGACCTTGTTTAATCCTCCCAACCATATATGAGGTGGATACTATTATTCTTCCCACTTTACAGACAGAGAGACTGAGGCTGCTTGTGGGTTATGCAACTTGGTTAGGTCATCTATCTTGGAGGACTAGAATCCAGGGCCAATGTACTCCCCCTCTAAGTGGCATGTGCTCCTACAGGTGGGTTAGTTGCTGTTATGTTAATCCTGAATATTTTCTATCTCTTTTCTGCAGGTTTTCCACCAAGTACTGGATGTCTCAAACATGCACAGTGTGTGGGAAAGGGATGCTTTTTGGCCTCAAGTGTAAAAACTGCAAGTAAGTGGTGGCATCTCAGAGTGACTTGTTGCTGAGGCTGATTTCAGCTAGAGCCATGCAGGAGGGCGCTGCCGTAGCTCATGGGCATTTAAGTTCTGGACTTGTGGGAGATTTGTTTGCTTTGGATGTTAGAAACAGGTCTTAAATGAACCTCTGTGTTTGTGTCGGGAGCCAAGAAGAGCAATATTGAGTAAGAACCAGAGCTGATGGAAGATGGTGAAAATACATAATACTATATGCTGGGGCTCACATTTTGATAGCATTGAAGATCACGGATAGCCGACTTGTTCTGTAGTCAGCCAGATCATAAATACTTTAAGTTTAGCAGGCAAAAGGGTTTCTGTTACAGCTACTCAATTCTGCCTGCCATAGCTCAAAACCAGGCATAGACAGTACAGAAACAGACCAATTAATAAAAACAGGCTGAGGCTCATTTTGGCCCTGTGGTTTCTGATCCCTGAGTGAAAAGTCTGCAAACTTTCCTCCTCTAGTCTTTCATCTCATGGGATCTCTCTGAAGAAGTGTTATGATTTTCCCCATTTTACAGACCCGAAAGCTAAGTCTCAGCAGAGAAAAGTCACAGCTAGGAAGTAGCAACCAGGACTTGAACCCAGACCCCCTAAACCTGTTATACTCATTTTCTGTGATTTCCTCTTAGTGTTGAGCTCTCGTGGGAAAGCCGGACTGCCTGAACCCTCTCTATATGCCCATTCCAGGCCATGGATAGCAGAAGGGAGGGAGGGGGCAGGACAAACTATGTATACAGTGTCATAACTGGTAGCTGTGTGACTCTGCACAAGTCACCTCCCGTTTCTGTCACTTGTATTTCCATCTGCATGAAAGGAGTAGTAACCATATCTGCCTCAGGTGGCAGTGAGCATTCATTAATTCAGCACAGTGGGTACACAGCATAGTCGCTGGTTCAGCGTTCAGTCCTCTGAAAAGAGTTACCAATGCCTTTCTGTCCAGCCTCTCCGTCCGCTTCTGTAAACATGTATTACATACCCTCTCAAGTCCAATTCCTATAAGAGAGCCAACAACATTCCATAGCATGTAAAAGCGGCAATGGTGTGACAGAAGGTGCGGGTCTGCTTTGTAAGAGGCCGTCAGTTTTGAGCATTTGAATGCCACATGTTTTCTCTCATATGTGGAATTTAAAAAAACAAAACAAAACAGAGATAGCGTGAAAGCGAAGGAGGACTGTTAGAGAAAAGGAGGGGAACAAGGGCAAGGAGGGTAATGGGTGAAATGGAATGATTCAATATGTTACTTGCATACGGGAAACCCATTAATCTGTATAACTAACATCCATTAACAAAAACATCCTGGGAATCCCTCTTTCCCCTCTAGCCTTGTTCTTCCTGCCTGCCCCAAGGCAGAGAGCTCAGACCTCCCCACATCTCTGCCTTGTGATGGATGTGGGGTAACAGCAGGGGAGAGCCCTCCCTCTCTCCACCCATCCCCATTCAGCTCCAGAGCCTCACCTGAGTAATGAAGGTAAGGCTGAGCTCCCGTCCCTCCTGGAGTTGGTAGGATTAATTAGTTCCAACCCCTAAGGAGCTTTAGGTTCCACGGTAGTGGGGGAGGTGAAGCAGTGATTACCAAGCGTTGGGTTGTGAAGCTGCCATCCCACCGGGGTCCTCGGTGGCCCTTGGTTTTCCTGACTCCAAGAGACACGAGGCCAGGGCCTCAGGTCCGGCTCACCTGCTGTCTGACTGCCCCTGGACACGAGCTGGGGAGACCTGTCTCATCTCCCTCAAATCATACCGTGTTCTATGGGGGAAACAGCAGCTTTCACATCCTCACACCTGCTGCGTGGAGACTTTGAAGTCAAGTAATTAGGTGACAGGGACGCAGCCAGGAGTCAGCAAGGCTGAACACTTCCCAGGCCGTTTCAATTTGCAGCACTGGAGGCAGAACTGAGAGGCAGCCTTGGCCCTGGTGCTCTCTGTTCTAGAAGTAATGAACAAAAGCAGCTGGCCTGCCGAGGGTGGGGAGAGGAGGCTGGGGTGGGTGGTCAAGAGCACAGGTTTGGAAGCAGCCGGAGCTGGAGTTTGGGTCCCAGCTCCAGCACTGAACTCCCCGTGTGAGCCTAAACTCTTAAGTGGTCTGTCATCTTGCGCTGTATTTTCACATCTGCAAAATGGGCAAGATGGTGCCCACCACAGACTGTCCTTATTCCGGATTACAACATTTTATCCAAGAATATTCTTTCCACTCTGTCTTGTGCACAAATAGCCCCTGGCATGCAGGAGGCATGATTCCAAACCAAGCATGGCTGGATTGCTCTGGCAACCTCACCAGCTTGCTCAGCCCTTAGAAAAGCTAGCAAAACAGTGAAGGCAGCTGCTGCAGCTGCTATAAAGCTTCAGCGTGCTTCAGGGTCTTATCATTGTACTTGTATCAACCACAACAGAATTTAGAGCTATTGCTACTATGTAATTATGAGCACAAGTTACTGAAAGCAGTTGAAGTTCAAAGCCACTCTCCTGTAAATAAAATCCTGCAATGTTTGCATTGATTAACGTGAGGATGGATGGCAATTTACGTGTGTTTGCGAGGATTGACACAATTTTGGACCACTTGCGAGCTGATAAAAGAGCTGGATGAGGGTTGCAAATGAGTAACACATAGACTCTGTTGTCAAAGAATTAGGAGGAGGGAGACACGTTTGTGCAGAAAGAACACCAGCAGTGACATTTCAGAGGTGGCAGCAAGAACCGAGAGACAACGGGCAGAACCGCGTGTTCACTTATGCAACTATGATACTACAGGCTGAGTATCCCTTATCTGAGACGCTTCCACCCGAAAGTGTTTCCAGGTTTCAGATTTACTGTGATTTTGGAATATCCACATAGGCACAATGAGATATTTTGGAGATGGGACCCAAGTCCAATTATGAAATTTATTTATGTTTCATATCTACTTAGACACATAACCTGAAAGTACGTAACTTCGTGCAATGCTTTTAGTGCATGTGAGTTTTGACTGTAGCTCATCATCACATGAGGTCAGGTGGGGGATTTTTCCACTAGAAGTGTCCAAGTTTTGGATTTGGGGCCGTTTTGGAGTTCAGATGTTCAGATTAGAGATGCTCAACTGTGGTATATTAAGGAAAGCAACAAGGAACAAAACAGACCAAATCCCTGGCCTAGCGGAATTTATATGCTGGTGGGGGGTTGGGGGGTGGACAGACAGTAAACAAAGTAAATTAGTTCAAATAGATCTTGTGATCAGATGATGCTAATACTAAGAAGAAAGGACAAAACAGAGAAGGGAAATAGGAAGAGCCTGGGTAGGGGCTGCAATTTTAATGAAAGGAGTCAGGGAAGGTCTCCTGCCTGAGTGAGAATATTGGAAAAGTAGGAGCAGAGCGTGTGGTCCAGGTCCTTCTGAAGCAGCGCAGAGGCGTGGATTTGAATCTTCCCAGAAGGAAACGATTTTTTAAAAACTGAGCAATCTTCTTCTGTGAGTGTCTGAAACACCCTGGGTGGCAGGGATTGGATTAGATGGTGGTCCCCAGACCAGCTGCCTGAGCACCGCCTGAGAGCAGGTTAGAAATACAGGGTCTCAGGCTGCCCGCTGGACCCGCTAAATCTAAATTGCCATTTTAACAGGGTCCTGGTCAGCTGGAAGCCTAGGAAGCACTGCTCTGAGTACTCTTCTGTGGCTTTTCCTTTACATTGCGGGTTTCAAGCTTGAATGTGCATCGCAACGCTCTGTAGGATTTGTTAAGACACAGATTCCTGGATCCCAACCTCAGAACCTCAGATCCAGTAGCTCTGGGATGGGTCATCAGAATTTGCCTTTGCAGCAGGCTCCCAGGGGATGCCGATGTGCTGGTCCTGGGCCCCCATGTTGAGAACCACTACAGAAAAGTAGGAATTTTTAGAACTCTGTTGTCCAGCTGGACATTTCATAATGTGAGGTATTTTTGTAAGAAAGGGCAGGCTTTGCTGATTATTTTCCAAGCTCTGCTGTTCTTACATCCATTGGTCTCATTTTCTAGATTGGGTCTTCCTCATCATTGTCTTTCCAGGAAATTCACTGAGCAAATATATCTGTGATGAGTGAAAAAGATAGCATCTGATTAAGAATCCAGGCTATAGGGCAGACATGCCCATATTTGAATCCTGGCTCTGCCACCATCTGGTTATGTGATCCCTTCTGAACCTCAGTTTCTCCCTGTGTATAATAGGGATAATATCTTCTTAGCTAGATTGTTCTTAAAAAAAAAAACAAGTAAGGAAATCGTTAAGTAAGATGCTCACTCCAGTACCTGGCCCCATTATAAGTGCTTAATTAACGATTAAGATAACAGTATTACTAACTCAATGAATTAACTTTAGGTGCCCCCTCCACCCAGGAAGCCAGACACTTCTTCACGTCTAACCCCCTTCCCTCCTGCTTCAGTTTAATGCCCACTTCCTCCGGAATTATCATCAGCTGTCTTGTTGGCATTCTGAATAGAGAGATTAATGAACTAATAGGAAATTAAGACTCCGAAAGCAATTTGCAGTTATCTAAATCAAGACGTTTTCATCTAATAGGTTCATGAGCGCAGGATGGAGTTGGGCTGAGTGGTTGGGTGTCAGCACAATCCGTGTATTGTCTGATAACTGTGGATTCAGCTGGCACAAGTTTGCTCGTGCAGTCAGATATTGATGGGTTTCCCTGCCCTCTATCGTGCTATCTGCCTCCTTCTCCCCTCAGCTCCTCACACAAGTTTCTGCAGAGCTGAGGTCTGGGTCCTTGGATACCTCTCTGCCTTTGCTTTTTTTGCAGAAAAAATGCACAATAGTGATTTCAGTAGTTTATGTTCTGGAAAAAGAAAATTTAAGCTGAAATGCATTTTTTTTTTTTCCTGCACAGGCTAGAGTGTAGAAGTGAAGGAAACAGCTCCCCAAACTGCCAGTGCAGAAGTAGCATTTGAACTGTCTTCTGCTTGCTGTAGCCACCCTACTCTCTCTTCTCAGAGATTATACCTTGGCTCTGGCTAA